AATGGATACAAATATTGGTAAAAAACCACCAATTGGTCTTAGTTAACGATTTATCTTACCTGATTTTTGACATGATTGGATATGATAACCAATGAGTTTAAGACTGGGTCTTACTTCCACCAAACTATTGGCATACTTAGTCATGCTTCAAAAGTTTTCAAAAATATGCTTAAACTTTGATTTTTGTAAATGACCATTTAAAACGGTCTATAGGTATGATGGGACAGTATATTCATAGATATTCCGATAAAACTGAAAAACAGAACAGATTGTTCACAGTAGACAAAGTTCGATCTGTATTTAGATCACCAAAACAAAAATCCAGTACATATAAAGTAAAGTAAATTTAATGATGGTCTTGGTGTGATACAGAAAAAGATAACGAGATAAACTTGATAACTTAATTAGATTGTCAATGCTTTTTTTTGTAAAATTAAAAAAAGTACATTTATCTTTTTACTTACCCTTACTCATTTTGATTTTTTTAGTATAAATAAATAGCAGTTTTTTAAATATAGGTAACATTCCAGTGGTCACAGCCAGCTACTGTTTATAATTTTTGGCAGAATTTCATTACCCTCTCATGCGTGAAATGAAGTTGGTTGGCCCCTCAGGCATGTTTTTGGAACAAGCATAAGGGTCTGTGTTTTTATATATACACACAGGGCTTATTAATTTATTTAATACATGTATATATATATATATATATATATATATATAAACATAACATTAACTACAAAAAATACTAATTTTCATGATTTTCAATACAACCAAAGTTTTTTGAGGTGTAACAAAAAAACTATATATTTTTAAACTAAAATATAGGTCTATATATACATAGTAAAAAAAATAATTACCACTCCTCAAAATGACCGAAAATGACCAGTTTTCGGTAATTTTTTCCCTAAATTATTGGCTTGAGGGGGGTTAAAAACTCTTTGAGGTTCATTTTTTATATATTTGCCCCAAATTTAGGGGGTATGGTTTTTTAGATTTGAGAATTTACTTTTTTTGACTACCCCTAAAACATATATATATATATATATATATATATATATATATATATATATATATATATATATATATATATATATATATATATATATATATATATATATATATATATATGCACATATATACACATATAAAAATATTGATCAATTTTGTATATATATATATATATATATATATATATACATGCATATGTATATACAAATAGTATTGCATAATATGGTAAGGAATCTGACGTCATACTGAAATAGCCTGCTGCTGGGGGCTTCAGTACATACATCGACTAACAAATAGCCTGACCCGCAGTGGAATGCTGCTACATCAACTGAGGGTTTGGGATGGGGAAGCAATTGTTTAATTCATCATTCTTCGGTTTTTCTTCTTCTTTTTCGAAAAAAATGGTATAGCCTAAGGTAAGCAGAAAAAGTGAGCAAATGCTTATCAAAACATACTTTAGTAAGTGTATATATATATATATATATATATATATATATATATATATATATATATATATATATATATATATATATATGTATTTATTTATATATATGTGTGTGTGTATATATATATATATATATATATATATACATATATATATATATATATTTACATATATATATATATATATATATATATATATATATATATATATATATATATATATATATATATATATATATATATATATATATATATATATATATATATATATATATATGTATATATATATATATATATATATTTACATATTTACAGAGTTCTTGATTACTCTTTATGTTAAAAAAAGACAAAGTTAAAAACACGTTATGTTAAAAACATTAAATTTAATTAAGGAAACTAATTAAATTAATATTTTTTAAAAATAATTGCAAATTAATAGGCTGGAATGTTTTTAAAAACATTTAGAATGTTTTTGTTTTTTTAATGTGCTGTTGCATCAACTGACAAATAAGTAAAACATGCGAAGTGCTGTTATATTGGCTGACAAATAGAAAGAACATGCAAGGAGTGCTATTACATCGATTAAGGGTTTTGGTTTAGATAGGCAATCTATCAATAATATATATTATTATAAATAATAAGTATATATCTATATAAAGTATGCATAAATATAATTTTTTGTGTGTAATTAAAGTTTGTGCTTATCAACTTATTTTTTTATTATTCAGTTTAAAATGCTTAAATGAATCATCATGCTGTTATAGCAAACTTGTTAGAGATATAAAATGGCAAAATTTAGTCGTTCATTGAAGGTGACTGTGTTATGTGTGTCATGGTATTTGCTATCAACAACAAACAATATTCTTGGAAAAAAGATTTTAGTTCAATACCCTTACCCTTTGACCATTACTTTGTTTCATATGCTTTCAAGTTCTTTTATGGTGTATCCTGTTCTCTTAATGGCAGGTATAAACACTCAATACCGTTACTCAAAGCATTTTATGTTGCGTTTTATAATTCCACTTGGTTTTGGAAAATTATTTGGTTCAATTGCTTCTCATATCAGTATATGGAGAGTGACTATTTCTTATGCTCACACTGTTAAGGTTTAAATTCCTAATATGTTTTTAGAAATAATGAAAAAATGTTTTTTTTTCTAGTATACGGTATTTATTTTTTTAGGCTTCTTTACCAATATTTACTGTATTACTTGGTAGACTTATTTATAAAGATTTACAATCCTACCAGGTTTATTATTTTTATAAATAATATGCATTTTTTATCATAGTTAAAAATTTTTAAGACTCATTTAAATATAATATAGCCTAAACTTTAAAAATCTTTTTTATATTAAAACTACATTAGGTATATCTTTCATTATTGCCTATTGTATTTGGTGTGGCTATAGCAACAATAACAGAATTATCTTTTGAATTTTATGGAATGTGTAGTGCTTTGCTAGCAACTTTTATATTTGCTTTGCAGAATTTATACTCAAAACTTGTAAGTTAATTATTGTCTATTTTATTATTATTTTTATTTTTTTTAATTTTTTTTTTCAGAGTTTGTAAAAAATCCAATTATTGACTTTGTTTTGATTATTTGATAAATTCTAAGGTTGTCATGGAGACCTAATTTAAATTTGGTTACCTATCAAAAATGTGAAAAATGATAACAGCTCAAAATCTGTGTATTTGTGCCAATGTACTTAAGTTTCTGTGACCCAATTTTTTGGCAAAAAAACTTTTTTTTAGGTATAAAAAAAAAAAATTTATACCTAAAAAAAGTAAATAGTCTCATGATGTATGTTCTATGCTGCATGATTTCAAATTATCAATTATCTCAAATGTAAAGGATATTAAATTGATTTGCAATTTATGTGCTAGGCAAAATATAAAATGAAAAGTTTTAGATTTAATTAAGTTCATAAAACTGACATAAAATTTTACAGCATTACTCATTACCAATTAGAACTGTAACATTCTGTATAGGCATGACACTTGAATGTAACAGAAACATGGCCATTCCAAATCTAAGGTTTCTGCTTGAAACACTAGATGATCTCACAAAAAACCATAACAATTCAATATTATATATAAACATGATACAAATATTTCTGAAATTTGCTTTTCCAAAGCCAAACTTCTCAGTTGTTTGTTCATTTAAGACATGCTCGCTGAGAGAAATAGAAATATTAAAGGCCATTTAAAATTTAATTATATGCAAAACTGGAAATTTTTAATTTTATGTGTGTTACATCCCATATGTTTAGATCAATGGTTGATGTGCCTGAAAAACTGAAATAAGCATACATAGCTCTGTGGCCTGTTAAAAATGTAAAGACTCTTTAAAGATAAACATTTTTTAAGTGGACAAAATAAGACGTCTTTTGATATTATTATTATTTTGAAAAATTTATTTTATTTTTCTTTGAAACTAAAAAAACATTTTTATTAGCGTGTTGTTTACAGTTGGTTTTTGTAAGGTTCATACAAACTTAATATAAAGTGATAAAACACAAACATCATGGAATCATTTATGGTAAATAGATAAGGTTGGGAAAAGATAAGGTTGCAATTCTATATCGTATAAAGTTAAAAACTTTCATATAATTTTTTATTAGAATTTTTTTATGAAAAGAAGGAAGGGGGGTGGGTTTGTTATCCCATCACACACATAGTATGTTGTGGTTGTATATTGCAACGAGTTGCCATCTACCTTTAAAAAATAAGTGCTCTAAAAGGTTATAAGCTAACGTGGTTTATAAGGGAAAAATCACAGATGTCCAAAATGAGTGTCTTGTTTTCAAAAGAACACTGTGAATAAATAATTCTTGTATTTAAGACAAAAACTGCTTTTAAATATTGTGTTAGAACTAAAATATCATAAAAATATACTTTTAATTAAACACATTATTAACAAACAGATATCTGATGTCACTTAACACTAAATTTCATTTTTCTCAAAATGAGAAAAATGTGACATCTGTGGTTTTATCCGTGTCTACATATCTATATAATGTCTATATATCTATTTTATATGAGCCTACTGGGTAGATATTTAAATTTAGGCCTAGTTATGTAGTACGCATTTTATGTACTACATAACTAGGCCTAAATTTAAATATCATAACCAAAATCATGATTTAACCTACATATTCAGCAATTTATATTTAACAAAAACATTAATCAATTGGAATATTTAAATTATTTTTTTGATATTATTTATGCGTCATTTATTTACATTAAATTACATTTATTTACATTAAAAGAAATATGTTGACCACATATGTTTTAATTTTAATTCAATTTTTTGAATAAAAAAAAAAAAGTTAAAAAAGTTTTTTTAATAAAAACTAAAAGTTTTCTTTTTAATAAAATCTTTAAATTAGATTTAAAAATTAAAAATTTAAATGAATGTTAAATACTTTTTAAAGAAATTATTTTCTTTTAATTATAGTTAATCAAATTATAATAAATTTATTATATATGACCAAATAAATTTATTATATATGACCAAATAAATTTATTATATATGACGTAAACATATTTTTAAAATCATAATTACAATATATATGTAATAATTAAAATAAGTACAATATTATTATAAATAAATATTTAAAATATCTAATTATATAAAATATTTAAAATATAAATATGATATCTATTTATATAATTATATATTTAAAATATTATATCTATTTACATAAAATATTAATATTATATTTATTTATAATAATATTGTACTTATTTTAATCATTACATATATATTGTAATTATGATTTTAAAAATTTCAATAAATATGTTTATTTAAATATAATAAACTTATTATATAAGACAAAATATTGTTGTAACTATAATTTATGTTATAAATAATCAAAAGAAAATTTGATTAAAACAATATATATTTTTAATCTATGCATATAGAATCAAATCATTATATTAGGCGCATAACAATTTTAATGTAGTAATAATTTATATGTAATATTTTGCTAATAATAATATGTTTACACCATATATTAAAATAACATAATATTGTATATATTAAATAATATTCATCATTATGACATAGGAATTGTGTTTATTTTTATTATTATTATTATTATTATTATTGTTATTATTATTATTATTATGAATGAAAATAGAAAGAAAAAACACAAGATAAAATTATAAAATTTTTATTTTTAGTTTGAATTTATAATAGAGGACATGTAAATAAAAGTTTAAAACCTAATACAGAATTGAGTTAATTCAAGATTCTTATTTTATCAATATAATCTGAATTCATAGTTTAGATTTTGTCTTAGCTTTAACTTAAAAACGTAGTTTCAACATTTTTATTAGTTTTTTACTTTATACTTTTATGTTTTTAACAACTTGTTTTACACAAGTATTTATATATTTTTAATAAAACACACATTTATTATAAGTATTGGGTTGTAACATAAGTTCGTAGAGTTTTTTCATAAAGATTTATTTGAACAAAAAAAAATAATTATAATAATAGATTAATCAATGATATTCTCCGTTACTGTTTACAACCTCCTCTCATCTCTCGACCCATTTTGTTGATGCCGTTATGCCAAAAATCGGTCGATCTGGTGTCGAAGAAGTTGTTGAGCCAGTTTTTAAGATCCTCTTCGCCATCAAAGGTAACACCCCTCATTTGGTTTGATAGAGTGCAGAAAAGGTGATAGTCGGTAGGTGCAAGATCCAGAGAGTACAGTGGATGCTGAAGAACCTCCTATTCAAGCTCTTGGAGTGCTGTTTTGACGACTTGGGCAATATGGGGCCTGGCATTGTCGTGGAGCAAGATGACTTGACCTTGTCTATCGGGTTTTTTCAGCTGAATAGCCTAATTTACACGGTTCAGCTGGGCAATGTAGACCTCCTTGTTGACAGTGGCGTTTTATTCGAGCATTTCCCAGTGCACCATGCCTTCCAAGTCCCACCAAACGCAGATCATGGCCTTTTTTGGGTGAAGATCTTGCTTGATTCTCGGCTTCGGCGTCTCTCCTGGGGCCACCCACTCCTTTCTTTGTTTCACATTGACATACAGACACCATTTCTCATCTCCCGTGATGATTCGATACAAAAAGCGCTTTTGTGTCCATGTGTTGCTTGGTGACGGGCGAGATGTTGAGCAGCAATTTTAAGGCGTTTTTCTTTGTTTTCTTCGTTGAGCTCTTGAGGTACCCATGCTCCGAGTTTTTGAGTAAACCAATTGATTGAAGGTGGCGAGAGATTGTCATTGCACTGATGTTCATTTTTTCAGCCAATTCACGAGTTGTTTGGCGACCATCTTTCTTCAATAGTGCCTTCAGATGCTCTTTGTCAAATTCTGCAGGTCGTCCGCTTCGAGGCGTGTCTTCAAGGTCAAAGTCACCATTTTTAAACTTTGCGAACCATTTTTGTGCAATAGACACACCTAAGACACCTTTCCCGTACACACTGCATATGTCCCGAGTATTGTATATATATATGTATATATATATGTATATATATATATATATATATATATATATATATATATATATATATATATATATATATATATATATATATATATATATATATATATATATATATATATATATATATATATATATATATATATATATGAAGTATTTCAGAAATGAATTTTAGAATGTATAAAAATTAAAAAAGTTTTAGTTTAATACTACTTAAATAAGTTAAGTTCTTAAATCAGTTCTTAAATAACTTGGGAAATATTTTTATAAAAGATTAATTCATTTGAAAATCTGAAAACTAATAGATAAAGTTTGTAGTTTATGATTTTAATATAGAAATGAACTCTTGTCCATCTGGCTTGGTAACGCTTGTTTAAAAAGTGTTATTTTGTGTTAAAGAAAATTTAGTTTAGTATAATATGTATCTTAAGGTTTAATATAAAATCACTTGAATAGTTTAATTTTAAATATTGTATCAAATGATTTAAGTGATAGTAAATCTGGGAATTAGGAAATCTGGGAATTAAATATAAAAAAGGTAGATATTACATATTCTAAATATTTGATTAACTATTCTAAACATCTCAAAACATAAAAGCATTAACTTTTTAAGTTGCAGTAATGAAGGTTTTTGAGCTAATTGCAAAAGATGTGTTTCTAAATGATGCGTTTTGCAAAAGATGTGTTTCTTAACAACTAGTGAAATAGATATGCAATCAGAGACATTGAAATATTGAAGTTTAGAGCAATTACTTATTAATTTTAGATAACTATTGCATCATATGTTAAAAAATGTATTGATAATTTTGTAATTTGCTTTTTACAAAATGCTTTTTAGTCACTAAATTTTGGAATGAAGCTATCGCCGGGTTTTGGAATGAAGCTATCGCCGGGTTTCTAGCTATCACAGGGTTTTAGAAAGCGTTTTGAAGAGTTTGTAACAGAAATTTGCAACTTTAAAAAGCCTTAAGAATCATACAAATTACTTTATCAAACTGAGTTGAAAATTTGACTTAATACGAGCACATCTTGCTTATTTTATTGAAAGAAAACAGTGTTCTTTTGGTGTTTTTAGTGAAACATAAACAAAACAATGAAGAAATTTGCAATATCAGACCTTAACAAAATTTGAAATATCAGACCTTAATAAAAATAATGAAGATTGATTGATGATATTTAACAACACAAAAATAAAAACATGTGATGTTTGTGAAGATATTTAATTACATACAATATTTAAGTTTTAAATGTTTAATTTGTGTAGCCTTATTTTTTATAACCAACTTTTTTTGGTTGAATATCAATGATATCAAACTTTCTTCTTTATTAAACATAAACATCAAATTTACATTTACTATTATGTAAACCAATGTGTTTGCAATAAGTATTCATATATTACATGTGTCATCGTGTATATGCACTATTGTATTCACCCTTATGCAGGGTGTTTCATTAAAAAATCCACAAAATTTCCCAAGAAGATGTAATTTATATTTTATTTTCAGCTGTTTTTCTATCAGGCTGACAATCTAATAGTTTATATTTGACATTCAACTTAAAATGTCTATTACTATGACATTCAACTAATGCCTAAATTAATTCACTGTTGAAAAAGTATGCTTTTATATTTTCTACATTTTTTTCAATAAGTTTGCTATTTTGACATCTTTTTATACAGTTTTTAAAGTAAATCCACTACTGCTTCTCATGTTCAAGCTACAAGATCTGAACTTAAGGTCAATGTAAACTGCCGACTTCTTTAAGTTGAAAGTAAGAACATATTGTAACCAGACAAAAAGCTTGTGGGTTAGGGTTTTCCAGTTTCTCTGACATAATGAAACATAACATAGTGAAAATTATTGATGTTGATTTTTTTTAAGATTTATTGATGATATACAGCTTTTTTTAGAAATTGTTTATCAAAATCTAAACTTGAAAAAAATAACTTATAATTGAAAAACTTGAAAAAATTAACTTATTTTTAAGTTTCAATTACATTTCTTGATGATTTCTATTTGAATCAAGATTGTTGGATAAAGGTTCTTAAAAATAGTTCTGTTGGATTTTTTTTTTAATTAAATTAGAAGTTAAATTTAGCATAAAAAACTTTGAAAATCATTTGAACAAGAATGACACAAAAAGGATTGATTTTAAAAAAGATTTTTCCATGACACTATTGCTTTGGTACCAAAAAAAAAATTCTTTTCTCATGGAAGAGATCCAGGAGTCAATGAGTTTTTAAATTCTTCTTTTGAATAAATCTATTTGAACCTTAAAGTTTTCTGATAAAATTTCAACATGTTCTGATAAGAATAACTCAAGATATAATTTTTTAAAGATAAAAATCAAAAAAAAATTTTAAGTTTTTGTTATTTGATATTGATTTTATACTTAATTAAAAAAGGGTAAAATCAAAAAGTGGTAAAAAAGTGTATGAAAGTTACACCAAAAATTTTGAAAAAAATCCTATAACATATAGCTACTGATTTTTTTAAAGTTCTGTACATAATTCATTTCAAGTTTCACCTAGTTACCTAGTTCCTAACTCTCAGCTTAAGATGCATAGTGCATATCTATGCAGTGCTGTGCCTTCTTAGTTTTGAAAAAACTTTCAGCTTATTGATGATACATCTGGGTGATTTCTTCTTTAATTGCAAGTATACATATGTGGTAGTGAAATACATATTTGCAAAGTTTAGCTTAAAGTTCAAGTTTATACATTAACAAAATTTGGCTTAAAGTATGCCACATCAGGCATGCGCCCTATTTTCTTTAGATCTTTTTGTCCTTTATGTCCTCTTCTGTCATTTGGTCTTTCAAGGCATATGATATTGATGTTCTGTTATAAAAAACAATGTGACTAATTTTAATTCTTTTTTTGAAATCAATAGTTTTAAAAAGTTAAAAAGATCTTCTTATGATTAATTTGAATTCTTTTAGCTTAAGTAATTCTTGTTTTTGAAAACTAAGCTAGGAGTTTCATAAAAGAAAATTTTATTCAAATGTTTTCTTAATTTGACACTTTTGTGTGCTTTACTTTGTAGGAATTAGTGATATCTATATGCATATGTTTTTATAGATAAACTTTTTTAAAATTTACAATATGGCTATTGGACCCAGTAAACCATTTTCTTTAGCAAGCCTGGTGAAATTTTGTCCAGATCAGAGCTGTTCAGACATTTTAGCTGTTTTTGACAAAGATCTTTGAAGCATAATCAAAAACAAACTTTGTTTTTTTTTACAGGTGGTTATAAATATTTTTAAAAACCAAGTTTTCTAGCAATTGGTAAATTTAAGGCAAAGTTTTCTTGCAATTGGTAAATTTAAAACAAAGCTTTCTTGCAATTGGTACCTTTAAATCAAAGTTTTATAGCAATTGGTAAATTTAAAAAAAATTATTTTTAATAAAACTTTTAAATTTATTTTTTGATTTCTGTTAAAACTTTTTTGTACAAATAATGTTGTAACAAGAACTTCTGTTTTTCCATGACCAAGTGTCAGAAAGAATTTCTGTTTTTCCATGACCATGTGAGAATTTTAGTTGCTTTTTTTTTAACCAAGTCTCTTGGAGATTAAAACAACCAAATGTCTTGGAGATCTTTTATTTTTTCATAACCACAGACCGATCTTTTCATGATCAAAATCAGATCACTCAGGGAGATTTTCTTAACTGTCAACACTTTTTAGTTTTGCGGAAAATCTTATTAAAAAGTTAAAATTCTAATGAAATATTTTCATTTATACAACCCAATCAGGAAGCTTGTAAAAGTTTATAGAGCAAATATAGTTAAAAGTAAAAAATATATATATATATATAAAAGAAATAAAAAGTTGAAAAAAAGAAAAACTCTATTACACTAATTTGAATTTATCAAGGAAAACTTTTATCAAGAAAAACTCTTTATTTACTTTATTTTTTATGAAAACAAGAAAACTTAAAGTTCTTAAAAGTTTTACTTAATAAAGTTTCAAAAAGGTTCAACTTTTGAATGCATTTTTTATGAACATTTTACATTAATAAAATTATACAGACATTTTGTATTGAAACTTTTTATTTATTTTTTTTTGCTTTTTTTTTTATTACTAATGTATTTAAATTATTATGTATTTAAATTATTAACATTTTATTTTTTTATTTTTATCAAATTGTTTGTTAGGCTATAAAAGAAGTCAGATTACATCCTCTACAGATGCTAGTGACAATTTCTCAAATTTCTCTTGTCATTTGCTTACCTTTATGGATATTTATTGATACACCAAAAATGGCTAATGATATAAACTTGGTATGTTATAGTATAAGAAAATTCTATTTATCTGTATTATTAATGTGTATATATATATATATATATATATATATATATATATATATATATATATATATATATATATATATATATATATATACATATATATATATATATATATATATACATATATATATATATATATATATATATATATATATATATAATATATAATATATATTTTATATATATATATATAATATATATTATATATATATAATATATATTATATATATATATATAATATATATTATATATATATATATATATATAATATATATTATATATATATATAATATATATTAAAAAATATATTGTATATATATATAATATATATTATATATATATATATAATATATATTATATATATATAATATATTTATATATATATATAATATATTATATATATATAATATATTATATATATATATATAATATATTATACTTTTTTTTAATATATATTATATATTTTTAATATATAATATATATTAAAAAAAAGTCTCTTTTGACTACAATTTTTTTACCTTGTCTCTTAAGCAGCATATTGTCGTCGAAATGTCAAAGCAATTAAATTAATGCGGAAGTACATTAAATTTTATTGTTTTTAAAAAAAACCGTAATAATAATGACTAGAAAGTTTTTTTTAATTAGTGGTGTTTTTGTTTTTGTTTTATTAAAAAAACATTTTTAAAACATGCGTAAGTGTTGCTACATCGACTATCTCATAGCCTGCTGCTACAAGGAAGTGTTGCTATACATTGGCTGACAAATGACCTGACTCGCAAAGGAGTGCTGCTACATCGACTGACAAATAGCCTGACTCGTAAGGGAGTGCTGCTACATCAACTGAGGGTTTGGTTTGGGCAGACAGTCTTAATTTAAAAAAAAAATTTTTTTTGAAGTTTTTTAACATTTTCTGGTCAGGCTTATTAACGCGCTCTTTAAAACAACAGTTTATCAGAAAAACTTTCTGACTACCATGCAAGACTATATATATATATATATATATATATATATATATATATATATATATATATATATATATATATATATATATATATATATATATATATATATATATATATATATATATATATATATATATATATATATACACACACACACACACATAGAAAAGTATTTAATTGTTTGAAATAACCAACTTATAAACAACAAAAATATTCTAAATTTTTTTACATTCTTATGTAAGAGAAAAAGATTCTTTTAAAAAAAAAATTACTGTGATAGAAAAATGGGAACAAGAAACCCTAAAACCTTAGCCCCTCTTCCTGCCCCAAACGTGAGAGCAACAAGTTGATAAACTATTTTTTGTACTATTTTCAACTTTTTGTACTATTTTCAACTAGACTTATATTCATTGATAAATTTTAAATTTCATAGTAAAATATTTGAGTGTTTAGAATAAAAAAATGTAAAGTTTAAATCCCCCTCAATTTTGAGGAGCTTGCAAACTTTATAATATATTTATAATTTTTCATAACATGATATATATACACACTCACACACATTAGGGCGACAATTTTTTTGCAAAAAAAAATTGTCACCCTAATGTGTGTTTTTGCAAAAAAAAAAACACTGCATCTAATTCTTTTCTACACCCCTCAGTGATATAAGAACTGTTTTTGTTTTGTTTTAACGACTAAAATTAGTACTAGATGTAGATATTAGATGATTTCACAATTTTTAACCATTATTTCAAAAAAAAAATTTTGTTCATCATCAATATTTTTTTACTTCATCAAAGTGTATCATTTTGAAAAGTAAAATGTAGTTTAATTTTTCATTCATGTAATAGTTACATAGTATCATAGTTGCATAATAACACTGCACAACAAAATGTTTTACAGCAGTTTTGAATATTTTTAAACTGTTAACAAAATTACTAATAAAAAAAATATAATAGAAAAGAGTAAACATAGTTTAAAGGTAAACATAGTTTCAGATTTTAATTAAATATAACTAAAAAATAAACATTAGGCATTATTTATGTAAATAATGAAACATATACCAACAAAGTTAAACATAAGAAGAGAATAAAATATCAAAATTTGTAAAAATTCTTAAAAAATAGGTATCAATGACCAAATGGAAAGTTGCTTGTTTAGACACTAAAGAAAAGTTAGTTAAAAAATTTCAATAAATCATGGAGACATTGGAAAGCCCAACAAATACATCTATTTTTTAGAAGAGCTTATACAACTCTTTAGCATTTTTAGAAGATCTAGTAAAAAATATGTAAAAAATCAAATTTTTGTTATTGGTGTAATTTAAAAGAGAAATTTTTCTGGAAAAAACTTTTACACATGTTTTTTAATTTTTCCAAAATTTACTTCCTATAATGACATGCACTAGTTTGCTCCCTTAACAACATCCTTAGCAACAATGTTTTTAGGTTGTTTTGGGCCAAAATTATTGACTAAACTTGATAATATAAACTTTAAGAATGAAGAAACTTAAAGCTTAAAAGGATATATTGATAAAGCAAAACACTAGAAAGAAGGAAATTCTAAAAGGAGTTGTTCTAAAGGATAATTTTTTTTTTTTTTTTTGTTTGTTTGTTTTCTGTTTGTGAAATTTCAGACTTAAAACAACCATATCTCAGCTTCTACAAATTATTTTTTAATGAAATTTTCAGGGTTTGTTCATCTGTATATAAGTTAGTATGTGAACCAGAATCTATTTAATTCTTTCAGTATTTTAGGAATTATGGGATGGTTTTTGTTGAATTTTACCCCTTTTTTTAATTTCCCCAAATTCATAGAGCTGCCATTATATATCTAAACATAATTATAAGTTTTTACTGGTTCACATACTAATTCTATGTATATCCTGCATGCAAACCAAACATGTAAAATGAATGTACAGATAACTAGAACTCTTTGTTTTAAGTGATGTTTTAAGCATTTTTATGCTGATTCAGCATTAAAAAAGTTTTTTTTTAAAATCAGAATACAAATATAACTTCTTTATGTTGAAAAAAACAAAAAAACTTTTCAACAAAATTTTTTTTACTTTTTTATTCAAAAGATTAATCAAAAACTTTAGTAATTACTTATAACAAAAAAACTTTAAAAAAACTTTAGTAATTACTTATAACAAAAAAACTTTTATTAAAAAATATCATAATTCACAAAAATGCTCCAAAAGCTTCTGTCATTTCACTTGAAACTTTTTTATTTGTAACTTTATTCCTTATCTAATGAGAGAAGAATTTGAAAAGTTTTAAAATTAAATTATTTTAAGTATAAATTGTTTTTTTTTTCTATTTTCCAATTTTTTCTTACACTTTTAAATAAATAGAATTCATATTCAAAACATATATATCATATATACTTTATTGCATAGATATCATATTTACTTTATTACATAGATATCATGTTTACTTTATTTCTAAGAAAAGAAAAATACAACATAAAGCCTTATAATAGTAGTCTTTGATAAAACAACACCTAAATTTATACCCAGGTTAAAATTTTAACCAAAAGTAAAGTGTTTTTAAAATCTCTAGAAACTTGTTAAAAAGTTAATATTATCTAAAGAAAAACTTAATCATAAGCGCAGTCACTTACAAAAATCTTACAAAAGTATTCATGATGGTATATTTTTACATTTTTACAAACTTTAATCAAAATTCAGTTCTACAGAAAAACTTAGAGAAATAAAATTTGAAGATAAAAGTTTTAAAACTTTTTTGGGGACATCTATAAAGTACGTACACAGTAAAACCTCTGATTTAAGACACCCTCTCCCCCCTTGTGCGTATTTGTATGGATTCAACAAACCCCCTTCCCTCTGCATACATACGCATTATTTTTTGCAAAATCGACCTCCGGTACTTTCTCCCTTGCATAGTTTTTTAAAACATTAAAAACAAAAAAACCTTAATTAACATTTTACTGTTACAATAATGATTTTTTAAATATTAATGAAATTCAAAACTTTTGACAAAAATATTTTTAGTTTTATGAGTAATACAGAACCAGATATAATCCCCGCCCCTTGTACGCATTTGTACGTTTTTGAGTAAAATACATACTTTATGGAAGACCCCTATATTTTATTATATTTTTTTCTTTCTGAAATGACTTAATTCATGTCCTAGTACTCAAATCAAATGTCCTTAATTCATTAGCTAGTATTACTCAGATAATATTCAACTGGGTAATACCAGGTATTTCCCAGTAAAACGAGAGTAAATTTAAAATTACCCATTACCTGGTAATACCTATTTACCCAGGTAAATTTAAAATTAAACATTACCCGGATAATTTTTTTCTGCCAGGTAATGGAAATACTAATCCTTACATTTGTTAAAACAAGTTCTGCTCAAGGGCGGATCCATAGAAAGGGCAATGAGGGTGATAACCCTTCCCCCTCCCCTTCCTCAGATATTTCAAAAATATTTTTTTTTTGTAAATTTATTTAATACAACATGTTTTTAAAAGCAGAATTAAATAAGGGAGATTAGCAATAAGGGAGATTTAAATTGATATGAAATTTTCATTAAGTTGCATAGTGCAAAAAAAATAAAACTGTTGGGATATCAATATATGGTGTAATTTCATAGTTTCATTCATTAATACAGCAAAAGATTAGTTTTCTAAAAAGTTAGCCAAAAATGTTTTAAAATTTGTGAGCTTGTCTGCTCACAAATCATTAAACCTAACTAACATTAGACATAATTTGTCTAGGCATTTAGGAATCCCTTTAACATATAACCTGATAAAAAATAGTCCATTTGTGCATTATCTGATGAGTTTGGTCCACATTTCAGCATGAATAAATTTAATTTTTTTAGTCAGTTAAAAATTTAATTGTCATTTTTAAAGAGTGACTGGGTTTAGATGGAAATAAAAGTCATATTTTGGATATAATCTTTTAATATCAATTTTAATAAATAGTTTTAAAACACCATATAGTTTTAATTTTAACTCCTAACATATGAGATTCAGTAAACTAAGAATATTGGAGCTTAACATCATACAGCACCTTTTTAATTTGTTTTTTGTTAATGACATTAAAGATTATTCAAAAGTCCCTATAACCTAACTTCTGTGATAAAATACAAGACATTTGAGAACTATGTCTAATCATCAGACAAATCATTTTTGTATCATTTTCTTGCAAAATAAAATAAAATATAAAAACAAAAATCAAAAAGTGTAAGTGTATAAAGTTTAAGAATGTAGTTAGGTAAGCTAGGGTCAGAGACACAAGTCAAGGATTGCAAGTAAGTGATTAGGGTTGTCTAAAAATCAAGTCACAAAGTTAACTGAATAAGAGATAAAGAAAGACAAAAGTTTTGAGCTTTAGAACCAGCAGGGTCAGTGGTACTAGAGACAACCAGTTTGTTAAGCAAAAAAGTCATCGTTAAAAACAATTTTAGCTGAAAGATAAAGAAAAAGGGCATGGTCAATACCATCAAAGTGGCATCAAAGAGTTTTTTTTTTCATAGAGTAGAGAGGTGCTAAGCGATGGTTGCTAAACAAAAGATTTTAAAATTTTAAAAACTTTAATGACAAATTAAGATCAAGACATTGAATTACTGAATTTATATGACGATCCTTAATGATCTTAAACTGATTTGATAGATTTGCAATCTTGACCTGAGTTCATTTGAATTCATAATATATTTTGTATTTGCAATCCATACACTTTTTAGAAATGAAAGCCAAATAATTAATTTTTTTTTTTTTTTTTAATGCTATATTATTTATTAGAACTAAAGTTTATAAAACTTTAATAAAAGAGAATTAAATATCTAATAGAGGTTGGAGATATTTAATTTTTTTTTCTATGTAATTCGTCAGGGTTTCTATGTTATCAAGCTATGTTATCAAATTTTTATTTTATCAAGGTTTCTATGTCATCAGGGTTTCTATGTTATCAAGCTGAGCAGTATTAAAGTTGCTTAACTTGATTACTTTTCTTTGTTTTATTGCAGTTGAAAAATTGTTATACTTGTTTTCTAAAAATTTTTTCTATTAAATATTGTTTGTATTTTTAGCGTTCAACAGCAGATCAACTGGACCTGTTAGGAAGACTTTCAATGAGTAGTTTTATAAATTTCCTTCAGAGCATAGTTTCATTTTCAGTACTGCACCTTCTTTCTCCACTCAGCTATTCAGTAGCAAATGCAACAAAGCGTGTACTTATCATAACAGTTTCACTTGCAACCCTACATAATCCAGTGACACTAGTTAATTTTTTTGGAATGATGCTTGCTGTACTTGGAGTGTATTTATATAACAGGGTAAAATATACTTTGTATGTATGTATGTATGTATATATGTATGTATGAGGTTTTAGCCAGACATTGTCCAGCTAAAACCTCAGATTGTCCATTTGATCAATTCATGAAGTAATCAGATATTTTGAATGAATTCTACAAAATAAAAACTTTATTTGTTGGTATAAAGTTGATAACCTTAAACTTAATGTAAACTATTAGACAAGCTTATATTAGTTTGTTGATCATTGAATCCTAATTAAATAATCTTTAGTTGTAGTGTTTTAGTTGTTTATTAGTTGTAGAGTAATAGAGTTGAGAGAGGGTTGAAACTAAATTGAATTGAAATATATATATATATATATATATATATATATATATATATATACACCATCAGATGGGGTAATATGGCTGTTTTACCATATTTATCATTTTTTTGCTAAAATTTGCTAAAGTTTGAAGAAGCAGTGTCCCACTCTACATACTTTTTATACCACAATGTTAACCTGACATTTTAATGTCTGTTAAAAAAAATTAAAATAATAATACTCTTGTTGTTGAATGTTTTTCGCATGCCATTTTTTTATGCTTTTTCAAATTTAAAAAATGCTAACTATTGGCAAGCAAATACTTGAAAGGCTATTTGGCCAAAATTTTACCCAGACCACTATGAGCTACTTAGTTAATTTTTTTTTGTGGCACTTTTTGGGGTAGTATGGTCACTTTGATTTGGTTGATAAATTTGTCAATTTTTTTTTTAAATCAGTTGCAATATGTAATACACTACAAACCAAAGAAAAGTTACACTCACAGTAATTACCCCATAAAGCAAGTGGACAAGGCTATGAAGGCCATTGCTTCTGGTCATTGGCTTTCAATTAAATTCATTGCTGCATTCATTGCTGATTTCAATTAAAAGGGACGAACAAAGTTTCAAGATCAACTCTTAGAATAAAACCAAAAATACACCTGGTTGAACTGCTATTTCTGCTTAGTAAGAGTTTGTTATTTCTCAAAATTGAGCAATAACAAAATACTTCATCACCAGAATGAAATACTTTGGTGTTTGGCTGCGTTAGAATAGTTCATCAAATGTATCCTTCACAAAATAAAGTGAACTTCTCTTGGCAAGATTAGACTTAGAGAGAATTGGTCAGAACATTTTAAAAAGCAATTGTAAGTGAAGAACAACTTATTGTTTATTTTCAACAATATGCACAACCTAATCAAGAACATTATCCTTCCAATGTAATGAGCTATGATGAAACATGGCACTCTATACTGAAGGCCTATTCATCGCGCAACCGTAAGCCGTGACTGGGGGCCTTTGATTACATTCATTATGATTGATAAGTAGTGATCTATTATATTTGACAAAAAAGTGTTTGAAAATCTTATGTTATTGTTTGCATATTTTTATATTCTTTTAAATAATTATACTTTATAGATGCCAAAAAAGTGTTGTGTATATGGCTGCAAAACTAGTTATCAAAGTACCAAAAACAATAAAAGCCTTGAAAAAATACTAGTTTATCGTTTTCCTAAAGATAAAGAATAAAGATATATTTGGATAAAAAGTCTTCCAAATTCTAATCTTTTAGTTTCAGATGAAACCATTTTTTGCCAATTACATTGGCCAACAGTTTTCGAAAAAATTACTGTTCAACAAAAACAAAGACCGAAAATGCCACTATCTGTATGGCCAGGAATACCTTCAAGTCAAATACCTACTCCATTACCACGTCATGGCACAACACAGAAATCTTTAAGCGTTGTTAGAAATGTAAGAACTGATGAAATCAACACTTTTTTATTGGCTAATACAGCAATATATTGATTTTAAAAATGTTTAATTAAATAATCTCAGGTTTTTTTCAGTTTCAGTATTAACATATATGATTGAAAAAACAATTAATATTAAATCTATTATGTTTTATGATGGTATTCTTTATTTTCTTGTTAAAATTTTTGAGAATTTACATTTTGAAACATTTCATTGTGGAATAAAATGTTTTATAAAAAGTTTGTGTAATTGTTTGTGTAAAATATTGTTTATTCTTGGTTAAAGTTTGAAGAAATACTACATTTTTTAAATGTCATGGAAATAAATCATAAGAAAAACATTATTCAGCAATTTCGTATAGATGGTGCAATTTTTTTACGTCTCGAAGGACGACAATCTAATGGCCACAAAGTTGAATGTGCAGTTATGGTTTACATAAGTCTAGACGCAAACGGATTCTACCTATCTAAAGAAGCAATGACCCAACTGGGTATCATCTCTAAGGACTTTCCAGAGATAGGCAGTGCCCTCCACGGAGCTATTAACTCAGGCCCCCAAACTATAGGGACCAAAACATCCAGTGAAAAAAGTAGCTCACATGTGTGCAATTGCCCCAAAAGAAGTCTCCCAGCAGGTGCACCCACCAAACTTCCATTTGTCTGCTGTCCTGAAAACAGCAAACGGATGAAAGCGTGGCTCCTTGAGAGATACTCTGCTTCAACATTCAACACATGTCCACACCAGATTTTACCTGATATTGAGGGACCTCCAATAAGTATTTTTAATTCAAGAAAATGCCAAACCAGTTGCAGCATTTACTCCAGCCACCATACCAATCCATTGACAAGACCAGGTGGAAAAGGATTTAATTCGTGATGTAACTCTTGGAGTTATTGAAAAGGTACCTCTAGGAGAACCTACAACATGGTGTCTTAGAATGGTTATCACACGTAAGCATGGCGGTGGGCCTCGTCGCACTGTTGATCTATCTCCTTTAAACAAATACTGCTACAGAGAAACTCATGCAATGAAATCCCCTTTCCAACTAGCTCGTTTAGTCCCAAGAAATTCATGGAAAACTGTAACCGACGCATGGAATGGTTATTATAGCATCCCGATACGGGTTGAAGACAGGAATCTTACCACCTTCATTACTCCTTTTGGGCGCTACAGATACATCCAAGCTCCTCAAGGTTTTGTATCTAGTGGGGATGGCTACAACAGACATTTTGACGAAATTTTAGCAGACTTTATTGGCAAACAAAGATGTGTAGATGACACCATCCACTACGATGACGACCTAGTCAAACATTGGTGGCGGACAATCGAATTTCTTGAGCTTGTTGGTAAAGCTGGGATCATTTTGAACCCACAAAAATTCCAATTTGCTAAAAGAATAGTGGATTTTGCAGGTTTCAGAATATCTGAAAATGGAGTTGAACCACTACCTAAATATATCAACGCCATTAGATCATTTCCAACACCATCCTCAATAACAGACATTCGATCTTGGTTCGAATGTCTGTTATTGAGGATGTTGTTACGCTCAACTTCGAGAAACTATGGCCCCATTCAGAGTTCTGCTTAGCCCTAAATCAAAATTTTATTGGTCGGACGAACTCAACACTTTATTCAACGTGTCAAAGGAAAAAATCATCAACGCAATTAAAGATGGAGTCCAAATATTTGACATTACCAATAAGACCTGTTTAAGATGCGACTGGTCAAAATTGGGGATAGGATATTACCTAAGCCAAAAACATTGTGAATGTAAATCGGACTCCCCAGATTGCTGTATAGACGGATGGAAAATAACCTTAGCAGGGTCCAGATTCCTGTCATCTGCTGAACAACGATATGCACCAGTTGAGGGCGAAATGCTAGGAGTGGCATGGAGCCTGGAGCAGACTAAATATTTCACACAAGGTTGTGATAACCTTATGGTAGTAACTGATCATAAACCACTTGTCAAATTATTAGGAGATAGGCCTTAGATGAAATTGCTAACACACGACTTTTCCGACTAAAACAGAGAACTTTGCCATGGAAATTTACCATCCAACATCAACCTGGAAAAAAAAACCTGGCAGCAGATGCTACTTCTCGTTACCCTGCAGAGAACACAAAGGAATCTGTTAATTCAGCCACTTGCAATCAAAATACCGATTTTGACAACACAGAATCACTAATAATAGCCTCGATATAAAAGGACATAGATAAAATAATTGCAGTAACATGGGATAGTGTCAAAGCAGAGACAGAAAGGGATACTGATTTTAAAGCATTAATGTTAGCAATAGAAAACGGTTTCCCAAAAAATAAGAATAACTTCATACCAAATCTTTTACCTTTCTGGGAATACCGCAATGACTTGATGGTGTCCGATGGGGTTATAATATACAACGACAGAATTGTAATCCCACCTACTCTACGGAAAGAGATATTGGACGTACTACACTCAGCCCACCAAGGAGTATCAGGAATGACAGCCAGAGCTCAAGCCACTGTTTTCTGGCCAGGTATCACTCACAGCATACAAAGTAAGCGCAATAACTGTTGCAGCTGTAATCAAAATGCACCTTCTGATGCACGACTACCACCCATCCGACCTCACATCCCTGTGACACCATTTGAATGCATATTTGCTGACTATTTTGAATTCCGTGGCTGGGATTATCTGGTCATTGGAGACTTTCTGGACAGACCGAAGCCTACAGAATAAAATCAGGAACATCAGAAATAAGTGCAAAAGGTCTTATCACGTGCATACGTAAACTATTTACAACATTTGGAGTCCCAGAAGAAATTTCAACCGACAGTGGTCCTCAATTCACCTCTGGAGAAACAAAAGATTTTCTACAACAATGGGGCATAACTCATCGCATTTCATCAGCCCACCACCCACAATCTAATGGAAGAGCTGAGCTTGCAGTTAAGTCAACAAAACGCCTCCTCGAAAATAATGTGGGACCAAATGGTGATCTCAATAATAACGCTTTTGTAAGGGCAATGCTTACAATAAGAAACACACCAGACCCTACTTGTCAGTTATCCCCCGCTCAAGTATTATTTGGCCATCCCATTTGCGACGCCATGCCCAGGATAAAATCCAGAATACCTATGTTTAATAACGACCAATTCTTGAAAACGTGGAGACATGCATGGTCTGCAAAAGAAGAAGCATTACGAACGAGTAAATATGCAAAGACCCTTGAATTACTTCAAGAACTCACACATTTTC